TGCCTCCCTCAGGACCGCCCCCGTCGTGCACAGTGGCCTCGTTGCACCTGGGATGTGTTGGGTTTTGAGCTGGTTTTTGGGGGGGCCAGGCAGTGAATGCAGGGTTTGTGGTGTCCCCCCTCCATGGACAGGAGACACTGTCCCACTCTGGTCCAGGCACATTGCAGCCCCTGCGAGCCTACAAGAGGGTGCCAGGTCACCTCTGCTCAGTTTGGGGTTGCATCACTTTTGGGGCCACTGCAGAGACTGTTTCCCCTAACTCCCTGGGTGGAAGGACCCCCTCTTGAAGCTCAACCTCCCTCTGCCATGCCCAGCCCCCCAGTCCCAGCCCTCAGTCACCCCTCCCTCAGCAGAACCCCACAGTTTTTGGTGGGACCCCGTGAGGGTGGCACTGCCACCCTTGCTGCCCCAGGATCCTGAAAACACCCAGCCCCTCCCAGCACCACTGCACCCCACACTGCCAAAACCTTTTCTAACTGAATGATGGGATTTTGGGGAGCTTTTTGGGGTTTTTGGCATTTTTTTCTATCCACTTCTGGTCCCAGAGTTTGTATTTGGGTTTCCTGGCCAAAGGAACAAGCGGGGGCTGCTCATTAGTGGTAACAAAGGGCCAGCAGTAGCCGCTTATAAACAATTAGAAGTGGGCAGGTAGTGGGGGGCATTGGTGCTCCTTGGCACCCTGGGGCTGGATTTTGTTATTAATATCTTAGCAGTGGAGAGGTGGATTTGGGGAAAACAGGTAAATATGGTGTGTTTGGGTGCTGAGCCTTGGCAGGGCTCTGTGCCTCGGTTTCCCTCTGACTGTGGCTGGGGTTTTGCAGGGCTCGGTGCAGGGGGAAGCTGCGGGGTGCCTGTGTTTTGTAATGGTTTGTACAGAAATAAATATTGCTGCAGTCTGTTGCCTTGGGCCCTGGCTCCAGGTGGGTTTTTGGGGCTGATGGTGGTGCCATCACAGCGGGTCTTGAGACTCCCAGCTCCCAGTGGAGCTGTCCCTCGGTGCTCAGGAGGGTGTGGGAAAGGGACTGGTGTGTCCAGGTGGGATCTGTGTCCAGTTCCTGGCTGACTCCAGCTCTGAGCCACCCCACTGATGTGGGTGGCAGCTGAGACCCCCCCAACTTGATTCACCCCCAGCCACCTGCCCTGGGGTCGTGGGGTCTTGAGCCAAGGTCTCTGCAGCCACAGAAGAAGAGGAGGAAGGGCAGGTAAGTGTAAGGACTTAGAGATCACAGATGCCTTTCTCAGACACTGTTGCCACTTTGCCGTGAGATGGGCACAGAATGCAGAGGCAGGATGGCGCTGGCAAGGTCTGGCTGGAACATTCTGGGTAATGTATCCAGACAAGGGTTCCCACCGTGGCAACCTGCGGGGTGGGGCAACTGTTCGTGTGCCTATCACCTGTCAAACAAAGACCACCCCAGGTTATGGCACAGATGGCATCTGCGACCCCCAAAGCCCCCCCCCCCCCGAATATGCCTTGAACTTGGACTGTAAATTACGCCACCGTGAGGGGAACCTGAGATAAGATAAAGGTGATACGAGTGTCCCAGACTACGGGGTGGTAAACAAAGCTGAAAGAATGTATCGCTGATGATGGATACAAAGAATCCACAAGGAAAACCAACTCAGTAACTTTGCTGAAAACAGCTCCGACTGGGTAAAAGGTAACTCTGTCTGGGGGAGATCATGACCACTGACCACAACCCTCCGACTCAGAAACCCACCGACCTCAGGACCCCCACCATCAAGAAGCCCAGGGTGAAGAAGGACCAGCGGGACACTGATGGGTCCAGGTGGTGACTATATTCTGCTTGATCTCTCTCTCTCTTTCTCTCCGTGCGTCTCTCTCCCTCTACCACCCTTTTTTTTTTTATGGAAAGAATA